GCTACAAGTAACTTCTATATCGGAACCGTGGCGCCTCGTCATTGTGTGCCTCAGCTGCCGACAGGTAGGCCGTTCTATCTCCCGAGGCGGTGGTTTGTTCTCTCCTTCACACCGTGCGATATCTGTAGGAGTGAGGCCCTCAGATAACCAGTATTTACGACAGCAACTAACAGAAGAGTTACTACCGCGTACCAGCTGACCGACGGTATCCTCCGAGACCTTCGGAGCGGCAGTAATCGGACACCGGGCCTGGATCCAGTGCCTTATGGCAGTTCGTGATGCGATGTTTGTCACTTATTCGATCGTTTTGGATAGTGGATTGGTAGTCATTGTTTGACCACCTGTGGTTGCAGAGGCGGGCCACCAACTAAGCAAATGGTGGTGTTGCATCGAATTTTCATTGAGTTAGCTATTTCTTGTCTATCCTTTTCATTACTTACTGACTGGCTACCTCACTTCTTACCACGGTTTGGTGGTCAGGCGGGGCGTCGTATTGTAGACATATTCCGACTTTTACTGGAAGGTTAATGTTATTTTTTTAGTTATATTTGTAATGTATACATATACATATTTAAGACAAAAAATGTACATTAATCCTAATTAACCCGCGCCCCGTAGGGGGGGGGGGCCGAAACGGCCCCCCCTGTCCTTTTCGGTCGATATCTCCTAAACGGCTGGAGATATCGCCACCAAACTTTCAGGACCCCTCCGGGCATCAATTTTACACATTGTGACCAAAAATTTTTCCAGAGGCTGTGATAGGTTGGCCACAAATGACGTCAGAGTGACGTCATGTTCTGTCATTTTCGACCGAAAAAAGACCTTCGCGAGAAGACCTGTCAGGCCTACAGCTTTGAAGATACAGAAAAATGATCAAGACATAAAAGGTGTAGAATTGACAGGGCTACAAAACTGCTATCTCGGATTTTTGAAATTTTTGAGTTTTGACCCCCAAAAATCAAAAAAGCATTTTTTTGGATATATTAGCCAAAAAATCCAAAAAGTTTTTTGATTTTCGAAAAAAACCGGAATATATGTAATAGTACCTACCGTCTTCTATCTACATACCAAATTTCAGATCGATACCTCGTTTTTTGGCCAAGTTATAGCGAAAAAACTGTTCAAAAATGATGACGTCAAATTTTCAAACTCAATTTTTGGCAATTCTAGAACTCGTAGAGCAAAACAAAGACCACCATTAGACTCCCCGTGACGAGCTGCATCGAATGGATACCCATTTTATGCAAAAATATCAACTTTGAAATTTGACCTCATTTGACCTGACCTTGACCTGACCTTCACCAAAACGTGACCTAGGCTGGCCCCAAAGGCTGCCTAACCCACATAATCGCATTTGTCATGTAAAATGGACCATAAAACATGTATCACACGACACATTCATATTGTGACCCCCGGTGACCTGACCTCGCTGTGACCTGACCTGGTATCAGTGACCTCAGATAGCAAAGTATGTGTTTGACGAACAATATACCATCGATGGTTTTCAATAAATTACCAATTTACTCGATTTCACAGCAAATTTCTTGAATTGCCTGTGAACGGTGAAAATCTGACCTTTGACCTGACCTGTGACGTCATCGGTTTGACCTAGGTCAATGAAATTTGGTCACAAGGTAGTTCCCGGGTAGGGCTATCAAACGCCGTTTGAATTTTGAAAATCGGCCGGTAACTTTCCGAGATCTTAGGGGGGGGGGGGCCGAAACGGCCCCCCCCCCCCCCTACGGGTGGTAGGGTCCGCCGGTAGCCCTACGGGGCGCGGGTTAATTATTGGGCAACATCTGTCATATCCAACTAGCAACATTGGTCACTAACGATGTGACGATTTCACATGGATGAGAACAAACTGGATGGGTTTCGTTGTTAGTGAAAATGTATGTGTGTGGGTCTACTGTCTGTAATATTCCCGTTGCACCTATTTTACCGCAATCGTCGTTCTCATTGGGTTAACAGGCCGTTCATAACTCCACTAAACATGTGTTTCTTGATCTAGTTAAGATTGTGGATATTATGCTGTGAGTTATCGTTCAGAATCTAACCCATATCGCGCGGGCTGAGCAGCAACGCATTGAAATTCACTTTCCTGTGTTATTCAACTCGCTTCATTCTCAGGTCAGGGTTTCGATAGCCACGAGATTTATGTATTTGTCAACATGGATAAGTGTTACTGGGTCAGTGAGAAGTGGTGTCAGGGACTCCTCTAATGATCTTGATTTTAGCCGGTGCCTTCCGTGATTGAATCACGACCCACCTCACCTTCTAGAAATCCCCATTTCGTATCTGCATCTCGTATTCACTTGCATGTATGTGTTTGTGACCGATCAAATTTGTCTTTAGCGTCCCTGGACATTTATTCAGCTCTAATTAATACGAGCCTGGAATTATACGCTTAGTTACAGGCTGCCCTAAAATATAAGAAAACTGTGGCTGGTGCCTCTCAACGAACTTTCTGGACACACTATATTTACGCCGCCTTTTTTCTTTTCAGAGATGAAGAGTCAAAGTGCCATGAATATCGGAAACTTCTGTCCTGATACCGACGTCACCGAACATCCCCTCTGCGGGTCTGGAGGTTAAGGACACCAGGTCAGTTCTATTCAGGTTACCGAAGGGTCACTGGCTTATAGCCTCCAATTCCCTCAGTCGCGTTTGAGTAGACTCGCTGTCCATCGTCCGACCGTCTCCGGCCTCGACGGGTTGGCCGGCCTCAGGCTCGCTGGTGCGTCTCGAGAGGGGGCCGGTCGGGAGGACGGGGTCTGGCGCCGCGCTGACGAGGGGCAGGTCGGAGGACGGTGGGGGGGGGGGGGGTGGCCGGTCGACCTTGCGTGACACAGCCGTGGGTCGATGAACAGACTGCGCCGAACGCAGGCCGACTACCTTGAGAGGTCGGGCAAGGCCGTCCGATGGAACCTCGCCGGGCATGGCGGGAAATATATCTCTACATGACAGATATGAGCCTATTTCTGGACTATTGTCTGTCGATAAGATGTTTATTCATTAGTTTATGTTGAGTGGTATCCCCAACATTGTCAAATTAACGTATAGTGATAAGTTGTGGGAACGTGGGTGCTAAGTGAAGGGTGACTGGTGTCCCGTGGTTATGCCACGTTGTTTTCTTGTCCAATCGTATTACCAAATCGCATTGTCGGTCAGTGTGGTGTCACGGCTCGTGACGGCGTCTGGAGCGTCGGGTCATGGCTCGTGACGGTGTGTGGAGCGTCGTGTCACGGCGCCGAGTGGCGTGTGACGCGTTACGTGACAGTCACGGTCCCCAGCGGCCGTCCCAGCGGGGCTCAGCGTGGGCCAGGGACGCCGGGAGATAGGCCGCCGCCGCTGGCATACGTCGTCAGGGTGAGAGACGGCCTCAGTCTTCTGGAGTACTAGACTGGCAGAATTTGCCCCTTGTCCTAAGGTGTTGGACGATGACAGCACCTCCACTCTCCCCTGGCAGCAAAAAAAAAAAAACTGCCTTTGGGAACGGACTGAGACTGAGAGACCGTTCTGATGATTCGTTCGGCCCGAGATTGAAGTCTTTTGGAATTTCACTGCCTCTATGCACTGCTATCGAATGGAACACACTCCTTTCCGTGAATGAATCATTTTTCCTTCGCACGCTATGCATAAATATAGTAATCATCCGACATCCCAGCCTCTGGCATTCGCGGTTTCGGCGCCAGATCGCTGCTCTGACCATAAATGTAGCCATGTGCCCTGTGGTGGCGGTAGTGAACCGCAAGTGTCGGTTGAGCGAGGAGTCGCTTTTTGTGACCTCTGCGGCATGCTGACGGGGTCAGTGGGTCACAGTGACCGGCGCAGTGAAACGGAAAGGACCGAATGTTCGAAGCGGATCGCTTCACTGCCCAGTAAAGAGACAGACAAGATAATGATAGACGAGCTAGATTTGCATGGATTCAGGGCTTCACAAAGGAACAGGACGGATAATGACAGATGAGGTGGACTGGGTCGTTAAAGTACTCAGCATTGAGACTTACATGAAGGGTGATTGATACCTGAAGGGTTCGAAGAGGTGGCTCCAGCGCTCAACCGTCTGCCTGGGTAGTTGCTGAATGTTGGGATGCACAGAGGGAGGCTGCTTTGGTGTGGATATTCGCTGAATGTTCGGTGCACAGAGGGAGGCTGCTTTGGTGGGGCACCTCAGGACAGCGCGGCCGGTCGGTCAGGTGCTCGGTTGTTCGGTCGGTCAGGGTTAAATTGATCGTTTTTCCGTCCACCGTTGCCGCTTTGTTGCCTCCTGTGGGCCCAGCGCCAGGTGACCTCGATGGGGTCAAATTTGCATCACGCTGCATGCGGCGCGTGCCGAAGAAATGCTCCAGGAAATAAGTGTCGGCTTTTTCCGCCCCGCCTTAGCATGTTTGCCGTATCCAAAGGACATCTGCGGATATGACAGGGAGTGTTTTTGGTTGCGGCTTTCAACGCTGCCGCTGCGGTCATATCTCAAACACGGTCGGCCGGTGCCCTAAACTAGTTGATCTGGTGACCTGTGGCCTCGCAAGATGACCTACAAACCCTTCAGGAGTCGAACCCCTACCGATCTAGTCCCCCCACCACCCGGCACGCCTCGAATACCTCGGTAACCGCCGCACGGAAGATCGAAATGGATCGGCCCGTTCGGTTCACCAAACGCCCCAAATTATCGCTAATTATGTGGCCGGGTGAAAATCGGAACCGGTATACGTCTCGCGGAGTGAAGTGCCTTCACTTGATGACGTCATTGGTGACAAGTCGTCGGTTCCGACGGTTCGTCGGAACGTCGGCGTCCACCGACGGCGGGTTCGGCGACCGGCGCGGGGTCGCTGCGCAGTGCCCTGACCCGTGGCTGACCGGTGACCGCCGCCGGGACGTGGCCGCGGCCTTGGCGGCGCGACACGGAGAGCGAAAGTATGACGTCACACGGTGGGCCAGTGACGTCACCGGCGACTGCGGCTGCGGCGATGTGCCGGCGCGGAGGAGGCGGCGGCGCCGGCAGAGTGGTGCCGACGGCCGCCGACGCTGCTCGTGCCGACCGGCCGCTCTGTCTGACCCGGGCGCGCTGGACGGGACGCAGACGGATGCGGCTCGGGGTCCTGTCAGTGCCGCTGTCTGTGGGTGCTGTGCTGCCGCCGCCGACGGCGACGGACCGACGCGGGACGGCGGAGCCCACTGGCAGACATGGAGCAGGCGAAAGTCGCCCCTCAACACCGGTGAGTTTCACTTTCGGTGTGATTGTGTCGGCCGCGGGCCGCGCTGGATGAGATAGGCTCGGGCACGGGTTTATAGAGTCATGAATTGGACAGCAGTGAGAGGGACCCAGCGGGGCGTCCTGCCGGCTGCAGTCCTTGGATCGCTCCCACCTCCGACGGTCCGTCATCCCGTCCTGATGTAACGCCGTCTTCATCACGGCAGCGTCACAAAAACTGGAGCGGCACAGTTACGACACCGCATGCTCATCTGCGTTTTCACAAGCACGCCGGTAAAAAGGTGCCGCCGGGCTCTCTGTTCGCCGCGGAAATCATGGGTCGATCCGTCTGGCCTACATAGTCGGGTAAAAACGGCTCATCGACCCGACCCGAGTAACCGGTCACTCCGGGAAACAGCTGAGACCCCCCCCCCCCCATCCCCGCGAACTGGACTATGGTGGAGTTTGAGATATGGGTAAAAGCCCTGTGGTGACCGGTATTCTTGAGTCAAACTCATTACGATAATGTTTCACTTTTACAGCGTTTTGTCACGATCGGTGCGCCAGTTTCCAACCCGGCACGATCGAATCACGATCGTGCCAGTCCCGGTAAAGCACGGCCCTGTCAGGCCTGATACGGTCGGTACGTCATCCACGCTGACAGCATTAACTGGGCGACCAGCTGGCTGCAAATGTCGTGCTGAGGAACAAGGACTGCGATTGGATCTCGGTCAGTGAGGAACAAGGTCGGGCAAGGCCGGTCGGCGTCCTTCAGCCTGTGAGGAGGCCACGATCGCACCGTCATCAGCGCCCGGCAAAAACCATCCTTGTCACCAAATCAGGCCCAAACTGGGGGCTGAATGTTTGACTTACTTGCTCGACATTTGGCAGTGACGTCTGGTTTACTGACGCACGATGAAGAAAATTTCGCTTCGTTCATTACCTAGATTTGAGCATGATTTATTATGATGTATTAGTAGGGGTACTTATGCACGGGTTTGTGTTTTCAGTCTTGAAATTGGCTCTGTCTTGTGGAACGTGTGGGGAATGAATTAGAAAGCCTGGATGGAGACAGCACGTGCGCTGTGCACCGGCACCAGCGCTGCGTCGCTGTTGTTTCGAACTCGAGCTCGCCGTGAGTGAAACGCGAGCCCAGTCTGTGAACCGGAGAGGAGGTGCCGGCCGCTGACGCAAACCTGCAGCGTGACGTAACGCCGTCAGCGCGACTGATCTCAGCTGGTGGTCAGACGCTGAGCTGACTTCCGCCGGGAAGAGAGGCCATGTGGCCAGGAACAAGAAGTGGAGAGAGAAAGAAAACAAAAGAACAGCGTTGGAAAAACGTCTCTTATTGTGAAGCAAGGTAGCGAGCAGGCTAGGAAATAAACAGTCTTACATGATCTCGAAGATGTCAAACATAAAGACGAAAAGACGAGCGTCACTTTATTCATTTTCGGCTGTATATGAGTAACAAAATTATCCATTTCACGGTGTGCCTCAAACAATCGTTTTGGACGATAACCTCCAATTCGTGTCAGATTAGACGATCGTCAGGTCATCGGGTCAACCAGCGCGGCGGCCTCGTACCGTGCGCGCTCCACCGCGGCATTGCCAGCTTTGACCGCAGACCTCGCGCGGTCCCATCGTTCCGGGTGCTATCTTTGGTCCCGTTTCCACTGGCAATCGCCTCCCCAACTGACGGGGAGGGGAGGACGGTGGCTGCTGGCGGGGGTGGCTAAAACGGGCGCTGCGCCGCCACCTCGGCCCCAGGTGTGGCACAGGGTGCGGTCGTGCTTCTCCGGCGGCTCCTTCTATCCCCTCTCTCCTCGCTCGTTTTACTCTCCCTTTCAGCCAGCCCGTCGAGCACGTGCTCACTGCTCACCCCCGCACTCCGTGCCGCTTCTCCGGCGTCATAAATGCGTGTGCGACACGCATACACGCTTGACGTGTCTCCGATCAATCCATCACCTTCTGTCGCTTTATCTATCGCTCGGTAGCACCGGTATAATCCCTCGGTGAGATCGACTGCGTTGTGCATTACCAGGCGCTCGGCGTGCCCCGGCCGCGAGCGGGTAGAGGCGTGCCGCGCACTTCTGAGTAGAAACTCGCCGTGTGGCGGGGAGAGCGGCTCGTATAAACCTGCCGGCGCCCTGTATCGACATTGTTCGATGGGTGACCGGGTTATTACCGCCGCGGGATCACAGAGACGAGCTAAACTTGCAGCACGTGTTCTGGTGGGGATTTGTCAGTTTTGAGTTTCTTTTGCGTGATTTACTCCCAGAGAGGTAATGCTCAATTCGGTCAGCCGTTCTGTGGTCCGTTATATTGAGATCCAAGGAAATGATTGATATGTCATGCAAAAGGAAAGACAGAATTATGCTGAATTATACGGAATAATTCACTTTTTATGGGGGTGTAAAAGTTAAAGCTGTCTTCGTTGCGGAAAGCATGTCATTACAAGTGAACGGAAACTTCCGTGGGAAATCCGGAACCCCGCCCCAAAATAATGACAACTGCATGCGGCTTTATCCTGTATCTGTCATAGTAAACTAGTGGTAAACGGTAGCTGGAGCGAGTACTTGGTGTTTGATGTGCTGATGTTGATCACTGACCTGCCGATTAATTGCTCCGCGGACGAGGCTGACGCAACGTTACCAGATTAAAGCGGACGTGACGGGACCCTTTTGTGACGAGGCAGTCAATCAGGGGCTCTGGTGCCGCTATTAGCCATCATGCAAAGGCGGCGGTAATGATATGGTTGGGTAGCAGTTCAACGTTTCATGTATATTTTTTAATGTAAGTCGATGAACCGTTTTAATAAACCAAATCGTGCGCTGTCCGCCTGGCGGGACGCCACTGGCAATTTTTAAAGGAACTCATCTTCCCTCATTTGGGCGCGGATTAGACCACATTCATGCTCCTTAGCCATCCCAAGGTAAGAGTCGCAAGGTTACCAAAATGTTTGTGAGGCATTCACCAATCTCAGTACTGTAGGCTGGCCGGAACTATGAGCGCGTTTTTATACTGGATCCCAGCGTGTTGACCCGACCCTGGCGTCACACTTCTGAATCCAATCTCGATCTCCGGGAAAATGTGGGATGATACACACAACTCACGGGCGGCGGTGCCGCATCCGGTATCCCATTCTCAGAGCTGAACGACCTGACCTTGACCGGGCTTGTGGGCTCTGTTGTACTTCTTTGATGAATACTGTCGGCGCGGCGCGGGCCATTCTGCACTGTCTGACGGGGGCGGTGGTAGCGGCCGGTGGCGCATTGAGGTCTCTGGGATCCCCTCTACCCCTCCCCTGCCCCACTCCCTTCGGCCGGGCGGCGTCGGCCAACAATGGAACGGTCGACATTCCCCCCAGTCTGTCTCAGCTTCGACACTGCTTGTTCGGTCCAACCAATCTACCAGCATGGAGGTGCGGAATCACAACAGGTCTACATAAGGGCAGCGCAAGTGTGCGCTCTGGAATAAGGAGGAAGCGGAGGAACATTGGATTGGAGGTAATTCGAACCCGAAGCTTCATAGCTCTGCGGTCTGTGCAGTGTGGAGCAATGCAACCGAGCAGAGGACTGTGCGGTCTGCAGTGTGCGTCATCCAGTCCCCCTTCATACCAGCGCTGGTCATCACCAGACACAGGAAATACCATACTAACCGCCGATGCCAGTCCGTCTGTGTCCGGTCACACCAGATCCGGCGGGCGGCGACTTCAGTGACCATCCCGTCCCGTCCCCGGCGGCGCTGGGATGATTTCAGCGGGCTGCTCAGTCGTGTGCCGTGCTGGCCCGTCTGCTGCTCTGACCTGCTCCGGCGACAACAAACACGGCCAGCCGGGCAGACAGGCGCGCGCGAGTTGTTTATTCTGCACGCGACTGGCGTGCGCCGCTGGCATGGTAGTGGGCGGGGGCGGCGGAGTGTTCTCCCTCCATTCCTTCTGGAGTAGCGTGAAGAAGACGGTCTCTACAACCCAGCTCGGTTCCGTACTCTCATGAGGCGACCGTCACCCTGTCACAGTCGCGGAAATGGCCACCCTTCCGACACTGCGAGACGTGTTTCACAACGGTCGGCGCCGGCGTGCATCAGCACTGTAGTGTGGCTGGCACACAGGACTGAACCGTGACGCATGGCGCAACGAGCCCCCTCCCCTCCCCCTCTCCCCCAGACGCCCACGCTCTACCGTTGGCAGAGTGCGGACTGCGGACGGTAGAGCAGATCTGTCAGCAGTAGCACACAGCTGGTCCCTGGTGACCTGTGATTTGTGTGCCGCACAGACGCCCTGTGCTGTGGGGAGGGTGACAGAAGTCGGCCGAACTAACAGACCGCCTGCCGCCCTCCCCTCCCCGTGGAGGGGTGATGAAAAACACGCCAGACGGCGGCGGCGGCCCGCTGCAATGTTTTGAAGGCAGGCGGTGATTGACGCAGATCGGTCTTCCTCGGGAGATGGATGGGGATGGCACGGTTGCTTGGCTGGTGGTCTCAGGTGATAACTAGATAACGCCTACACGCTGTGCTGACTGCTGAGCGGGCAAGAGTCATGGTGCATTAAGTCCAGGTGGGCTCAGGTCGCACAGGTCATGACCTGGCCGAATGTCACCGTGACCTGGCGGCGGCACCGTGGTCATGAGCTTCTGTTGGTTTTGGACTGCAGACGACGGACTCTGACTAACGCTGTTGGTAAATGGTCATCCAAACTAGCCAGACTGTGACGATATGCGCCTTATGTCCGCCCGTGCCGCCTAACGAAGTGTGAAAACTGCGATCCCGGTTTGAAAATTCAGGACGTTCTCCTTATGCTGTGGTACGTGATTCATGAACAAAAGCACTGCTTTCAAACGTTGGGCCTCTTGACCGCTACCGTTTTTACACATCAGATGAATACGGCCTCTCTTCAGACATAATATCCCTCGGCGCCACCTCAACACTCAATACACGATCGGACCGAGTAATCTTGGATCGGACCGCCTCATTCACCACTAGGGTGTCTCGAAAGTGGGGTCAAAAAAATTAATTCACTTCCTATAG